CCCTAACTGCTGGAAGGCACCGAGGTTAAATAGGTGGGGGAAAAGCAGATCATTAAAGGCTGTGAAAATGATGGTCTACAGTTTTTTCTGGGTCTTCCAGGAGTAATCGTGGAGCTGGGAAGACTATCCTTCAACACCAACCTCCCAGCAGTCCATGCCATGACTGCTGACGCTAGATTGTCTCCAGACTCCAAGGGCAAAGCTGGTATCTAAAACACCGAAGAGCCGATGGGACTTACCGTGATGGGGAAATAGTCCCTCATGTACCTCCAGACGACACAATTCCGGAGGAGATGGATCCTCCTCCCACCCTTGCTCGGTTTTTCCCTGTCTATTATCCACCATCCAGCGTAGAGGACACTAAGCAGCCAAAATCGAGTGAAGAAGAGGGCGATGAAGATAACTGTGCAGCACTGTGCTGAAAGAAAAGCCAGCAGTGACTTGGCAGTTGGGTTAGGTGGACTTTGGGAGAGGAAGGATTTACCCGAAGACACTCTGGTCCTGGAACGGAGCCCAAGTCTCCACCAAATTATTTTAGCAGTGTGAAGGGACCTCTGATGCAGAGGTGGTTTCCAGGAACATGGAGAGGAACCAAGTACCACCTTTGCACCAACCACCTCTCACTGCATCCTCCTCTTCCCAAAAGACTGATGGATCCCACTGCATTCAGAGGGTCCCCATGGATCAGACCTCTATCCCTTTGCTGTCTGGCCTTTCTCAGGAATCAGAGTGATCTCTGCAGTGATAATGGCCTTGTTTTACCCCAAAACTCCTGTTAATACCCCTTGATGACACCTAACATTTTCAGTGGCAGCAGACAGGGCACTGTGTCCAGTCTCTACAGTCCCCAGTAGCTTTATCCTAAGGTAATGATTCCCCATGTTAATCGTGTCCTTGATTTATGCCCATATGTAAGATTTTACTCTTTATAGAGTTTTTTGTTATTGATTTTGAACCCTTTCGTCCACTTCTCAGGTTCACTCTCAACTCTAATCATGGCCTCTAGAGGATTTTGTGTCCTTTCAACTCAGTGTCATCACGAATTTTATAAGAATCCTTTGTTTCATTCTCTAAGACATTAATGACTTGTGACTTTCCCAAGTCAATAAAGACTTTTCTGAGCTGCTTCCAGTCAGTGCTCAGCTTTGACCTCTACCTCCCACCTCCCTCATACCCTGTGTTTTGGCATGGGAGCAAGAGAAGAAGAGTCTGTGTGCAAACAAGCAGCACTTGGTACATGAAATCCCACTCAAGCCCAACAGTGTCTGTCTACAGAGACTGGCAAGTGATGATGGCCACCAAGCTGCCACCTGCTAAAGCAGATGCCCTAAAATGTGCCTGAGAAGAGCTGTGTCCTCTCCATCTGTCCCTCTGGAAGACTTGGTATTGCTCGGGAAGGGGAAGACTGAGCTAAAAAACCTCACCCCATTCATCCAATTCCTTTGCCTTCCCCAGCTCAGGGGTTGCATCATGTGTTATGTATTTTGTTCTTCGAGTTTTGTTCTTCGTCACAGATCCAACACTCAGGGCTGAAGGGCATGAGGATGGAGATGCCATGCTCATCTTTAACTTCAGCTATGAGATAGGTGCATCCACACCTTCATCCTCTAAGACCTGAATTTCCATCCTTGGGAGTCACATGGCACCTAACACTCTCCAGCTCATCTCAGCTAAGGCCTGTCAGAGAAGGGGAACAGGATGCTCTCATTTGAGACCTTCCAGTACCTCCTGTTGGCCTTTACTTTAAATAAGTAGATCTAGTTTGTAGCCTTCTTTTTTGTTGGGTTTGGGTTTTTTGTTTGGGTTTTTTTGGTGATATGTCCCAGAGTTTTGCCTGGAAAAGCAAATGCCTGTCCCCTTTTAAAACACTGTCATGATGGTACCAATAATTCCTATGGGGGAAAAAACCAAAAAACCCAGTAATCAAAGAGGATCCTAAATCTCCTTAAAACTGAAATGGAATCTAATGTCTTCCTCTAAGTAGAGACACTGCAGCAGCTCCGGGATAGGCACTAAGAATTTTTTCAGTGGGCAAAAAGCTGTAGTTCTCTGCAAAGCAACAGGTCTAACCTATAATGCATCCAGAATGAACCACTACCTACACCAGGTGCCACACTTCTCATGTAATCATAGGAGCACCATCCAACCTGGCCCGGAACACTTCCAGGGATGGAGCAGCCACAACTGCTCTGGACAACCTGTGCCAGTGCCTCACCACCCTCACAGCCAAGAATTCATTCCCAAAAACCCATCTAGCCCTGTCCCCTGTCAGTGGGAAGCCATTGCCCCTTTGTCCTCTCCCTCCAGGCCCTTGTCCAAAGTCTCTCTCCAGCTCTCTTGGATCTCCTTTAGGCGCTGGCAGGGGCTCTAAGGTCTCCCCAGAACCTTACCTTCTCCAGGCTGAACACCCCCAGCTCTCCCAGTCTGTCTCCAGAGCAGAGATGCTCCAGCCCTTGGAGCATCTCCATGGCCTCTTCTGGTCCAGCTCTGAGTGGGGTCTGATGAGAGTGGAGCAGAGAGGCAGAAGACCTTCTGGTCGTGCTTCTTTTTCAAACGCCACAGGTTTTAACTCTCAAGGAGAATAGCACAGAACATGAACCACAGCTCCAGGGTCCACATGACAGATAAACACTGCTTGAGGAACACGTGAAAGCTGCAATTTTACTGTGCCTGAGAGCCAGGTCATCTCTGCAAACCTTTGCAATGCCTAATTCTCTTTTTATCATACTGTGCAAAGCTCGAAGTCCATTCTGCAAAACGAAGGAGTTGTTCTGGTCCAAATCCCTGTACTTATCATCTAAGAGAGGCTTTATCTTGCAATTATGTAATTATTAATTTCTCCCTTGATTCATTTGTAATTCAGCTTGGGGTTTTTTTTTTTCACAGAGCAGAATTTACACGCAGTGACCTTCACTCAGTCTTAAGATTAGGGATTTTTGTGTCCTTGTAAAACCTTTTGGTGCTCTGGTTGCTGTGGGAAAGGAGCCAATTCCGGTGCCAGAATGGACCATCAGTCTTAAAGTTGCTGTGGATGGGACCAAAGAGACAGAGAAGTTCCAGAAAATGTACAGTTAAATCTGCATCCAAACCCATTCCAGCCCTGGGCAGGCACATGGTTATTCATGGGCTGTGTTTTGGTGAGAAGAAGACACTCCATGCCACATGGGGAGTCATTATATCTGCTTAGATCATGGGAGATTGCTATCCTTGTTCCAGCTGTCTTGCAGACCTGTGTGTCATGTCCTCAAGCTCTTCAATGAAAACACAGCAGAGGCAGTATGATCTCATTGGTTGGACAACAAGACATTCTGGGCCACCAGTGGCAGGATGTTTGCCACAGAGCTCTATTCCTGCTTCCCAAAAGCCATGTCAGGTCTCCAGGCTGGGTCCACCACCACCAGCCCCACTGCACAGGACTTCATGCTCTTCAGCCTGGCTCCAGCATCCCTACTCTGGCACTGTCCTGGCCTTTATGAAGTCACACAGGTGACTCTTCACCTCTTAGAGTCTTCTTGTTCTCCAACTTGATGAAAAATAACATCCCACCTTAGAAGAGCGAAATCCTGCATCCATTTGAGCTTAAAGGGAAGGACTGTGCACCAGCAGCCAAGATCTATTTGTATTCCTGAAAATCCTGAGTCTTTCCTGAATCCATGCTGCAGGGAAACACACATTCCTCTTCCTCCACCCGGAGGCAGAGGAGCAAGGACAAACCTCAATCCATCTGCTTGCCCTTCCTGCTTCTTCTCTGCAGGACAGGGCAGAATGGATATGTGGCACACAGGAAGATTTGCTTGTTGTGAGGTTGTTCTCCATAATCTTTGCTTTCTTCCCTTGAGGAGAATCCCAAGAGGAAAATAAGGAAGGATGAGGGTTTCTTGCCTGCTGTTCCCTGGACCAGAGGCCACTTCAGAGCTTCCCAGATAAGACCCATATTTCCCTCAGCATCTGTTTCCAGCTGCCATTTTCTGGGCTACCTGCCAGGCAAGCACTTTAAAGGATATCACAAACATGGCATTAGGCTCTTGGCCAGAGAACTTCAGCAGGTCTCTCCCTCCTGGGCCAAATTCCAGCCCACAGACAAACCGCTGTGCCCACAAAGCAACCCACAAAGGGCTGTTAGGTTTCAGAAATGCCACTGGAAGAGATGGTAGTCTGTGTCCTCATGGGAATGGGGGGAAATCTGTAAGTCCTCAGTTCACTAGAAACTCATCTTTGAACCCTATCAGCTTGCAGCCCCAAAGTGAGTCAGGTTCATACTGCACTTGTCAGGATGCTTTGCAAGATCATCACAGAATGGTTTGGGTTGGAGGGATCTTAATGACCATCTCATTTCACCCCCTTGCCATGGGCTGGGACCCCTTCCACTAGACAAGGTTGCTCCAAGCCCCATCCGGCCTGGCCTGGAACACTTCCAAGATGCACATTGCTGAGATTCCTAATGCCAGCTTGTAGTCTGTGACAGTGGCCACCTGCACAGGTGTTGCACCCCTTGGCACAGCCAAGCCTAGCAGCCTGGCCAGACTGCCCCAGGCTGTGGACTATGCTCAGCTGCCAAGGATGCCTTATCACACTGGCACTGGGTGCCCTTTGAGCCAACCCTGATGATTGGAAGGGTTCATAGGCTGGGTTTGGTACACTGGGTTTGCAGAGACAGCATGCCCAAGTCTCTTGCACTGAGTTTGTTTGTCCTCATGGTTCTGCATAGTGTGTCTGGCAGGATGTCCAGGCCCATTGGAGAGTGGGAATGAGAGGCAGTTCCCTGCAGAGGGCTGACTCCACTGCATTAGGAGAGGGCACTGGCCAGTACTGGGATCCTGCAGTGGGGAGGCAATGGGCTGCCCACTCCATGCCCTGCCCCATCCCTGCAGCTGCTCTTAGCATCTGAAACAAACAAGAACATCTTTTGTCTCAATGCTCTTGTCAGGAGCATCCTCAAGGAAACCAACAGCATGGACAATGCCTAACAAATCCTGTGAGGGATTCTGGAGCACAGCTCCCTGCCAGAGCTGCCCCCCTCCGGGAATGAATGAGCCCCTCACCCCGTGCTTGGCTTCTCAGGGGACGTATTTGCCCAACCGTAGCAACAGCTGCCTGCAAGCAGTGCTGCTGGGATGTGTGGCCAAAGGGCTGTGCAAAGAGCTGGCAGAGGTGGAATGGGAGTTGTGCAAAGCCCTTTCCTGGCAGCAAAAGCAGAGCCTGTCTCCAAGACAAAGGAGCAGCCTGCAGCTAAATCCTACCCATGGAAGGTCTGAGCTCTGTGCTTGAGGGTTATAACAATGTGACAAGGAGTGTTTGGCTGCTCTGGTGGGATGAAATTAAGGGTATGCATTAGCATTGAGCTTTTGCAGTTGTCAAACCAGGAGTTTTGGGTTGGAAAGCTCCAGGCTTAAAGAAACTTTGCAAAATGAACCAAACCAGCTGAAATCACTTCATAAGGTTTGTTTGTCACCTTCCTAATGCCATTCTTAGAGCATTTCTTAACTTCTTTTGGTTCCAGATTGTATCACACACCAAAACCCCCCACCCAAATCAAAATAAAATTGTTCCACAGGGAAAGACGATAAACTCTGGAAGATCAGCCATGGAGGAGGAGGGGCTTTGGGTCTCATCCTCATCGCAAGCAAGCTGCATTTCCCTGCAGGAGGTAAAGCCTGCATTCCAAGTAGCTCCACCTTACAGCTATGGAGAATTCCTTCTTCCTGGCCATTTGCTGTCTTTCTGGTGTCTCCAGAAGTCATTTCCATCACTGAAAAGTCAAGTGCCAGCTTGTTCTCAATACTAAGAAGGAAAAATCTCAAGTACAAATTGTTTTACTGGGAAACACTGTTCAAGATCCATAAGCTGCAGCTGAATCCATGCTGGGAATAGGGGTGTGTTGTTGTATCCCTTGTTTACACTGTGGCTGCATCTCTACAGCATCTCATCCCATCCAGGCACCATGGAAGGAAATGTGGATGCAGTGGTAGAGAGAGAGCTACAGAGCATCCCAAAATGCCCCAATCTAGATGATTTGGTCCAAGGCTGCATGGCCCTTGCCAGATCTCCATCTCTCTTGCCAGGACACAGCCATGTCTCCTCCTGTAAGGTGATCTCTGGTGTGTGGGAGAAGGTTGATCACAGCTGGGATCTCCTCTGCATTAAAAGGTCAATCACACCTGGAACTTCTTCTGCACAAGGAGACCCACGGGGTTTATAACAAAAGAACAGAATGGCACCAAGTGTCACTTCTCTGCCCAAAAAAACGAGCAGATTCACCCATCCTGGTGACCAGCAATGGTCCCTGGCCTCTGGCATTGCCCAAACTGGGCTAACATGTAGTTTGGAAGAGTGTTACTTAGCATGGGCTAGACCTATGCCAAGAAGCACACAAAGAACTACACTGTCTGGACTAGTATAGCCCAGACCTCGAGTCCATCAGATACTGGTGCAGAGGTGGCAGTCCAGCCCTAGGTCTGTGGCAGATCTCGGGAGCTGTGGCCATCTCAGGAGCTGAGTGGGGCTCTGAAGCACAGCCTGTGCTTTCTCTGCAGGTATTGTCTGGGAAATGTTTGTGTGCCAGGACACAAATACACACAAAGACCTGCTGTGTATTGGGGCTGGTCAACAAATGCCCTGCCATAATAAAGGAGGAGCTTTACAGAGATCCCATCTGAGATTCACAATTGGCGTAACAATGGGAAACTCTGGAATGTCACCTTGGCTCTCGATGGGCTGTAAATGGCCCCAGACAGTCTGTACTCTCTGATAACCTGCCTCTGGCTCTCCTATCTCTTTGTTTCCCAGTACATCCTATCCAAAACTGCATGTGCCTCGTTGACATCAGCACCTGATACCCTCCACACAGTAATGGGTTTGTCTGAGTTTCAGTTTGGTAATGTCTCCCCTAAACTTCTTTGGGTTTTCTTGGGAAAAATGCCCCTTGGGGATGTGCAGGAGCATCTGTATCAAGTGAAGTGTCTGTTCCCAGGGCTGCAAAGCAGAATCCCAAATTTTACCATTCCTCAAGCACGGGAATGCTGTTTCCCATGCCCAGTGCCAAGCAGGGCAGCACCTTAGACCAGGAAAACACTAAACCTGAAGAGAAGGAGAAGCTGGAAACCCCACACGGGGTTAGATGAACACACACACACACATCCCCCCCCCAGGTTTAGATGATGCCTAAAATGTGTAGATATTCCCCTGCACAGGCAGACAGCCATACACTTCCATAGTGCCACCATGCTCAGATCAGGTGGTGGGAAGAAGCCAAAACCCCTGGTACAGGTTGCCCAGGGAAGCTGTGGCTGTCCCATCCCTGGAAATGTTCAGGGCCAGGCTGGACAGGGCTTGGAGCAGCCTGGTCTAAATGGAAGTTGTCTCTGCCCATGGCAGGAGGTTTGGGTCTCTAAGGTCCCTTAAAATACAAATCATTCTGGGATTCTATGGAAAGCTTCTCAGAGGGAAAAAAAAGATGATGACTCTTACCTAGACCCAGGAAGCTGAAGACCCATTGGACGACTGATGCTGTCTGAAGCCTTCTCTGCAGTGGCACAGAGCGGGGAGCAAACTCAATCTTCATCTTGGGCTCTGCATTCACGTCTGGGAAGGAGAAGGAAGCAAGTGACTAATGCAAAGTGCAAAGTCGCCGTCAATGTTTACCCAGTCTTACAGTATAGGGGATTGTGCAACATACAGTGGCAAGGGTGGCTGCTACAGCACCCTCCCATGTGGGGAGGAGAGCAACACTGCCAGGAGGTGTCACTGCCTTTACATCAATGTGACTCACCACATGGTTAGATGAGGATTTCGTGCTTTTACCACATGAATCTGGGAAGTAAACTCATTTCAGGACCCAATCCCGCCTTCAAATCTTCTTCAAATTTTGCAGCATTTGAACACTGGCACTGAATATGAGGCATTCATGCCTGTGAGCCAGGCTTTATTTTCTTTCCCTCTTCACTACAAACCACCCTGTGCACAACAGAAGGGGACAAGCAGGGGCAAGTGATGTGATGTGGATGGGTCTCAGTCTCAGCCAGGGAGGTGGGGAGACAACACAAGGGTGTTTCACTGCTGAGCACAGGATGTGTGAGCACTACATTCCTCTGCCAGGACATGGATGGGATAGATGGATGGACAGGGCAGACTAAGTGTCCATGTGCATTGCATCCAAAGGAGTTTGGGCTGCAGGTTGAAGAAGGTGATTCTCCCCCTCTGCTCTGCTGTGACCCCATCTGGAGTACTGTGTACAGTTCTGGTGTCCCCAACATAGGAAGGACATGGAACTGTTGGAGCAAGTCCAGAGGAGGCCATGAAGCTGAGAAGAGAACTGCAGCACCTTCCCTATGAAGACAGGCTGAGAAAGTTGGTGCTGTTCACCCTGGAGAAGAGATCCCATAGCAACCTTCCAGTACCTGAAGGGGCTACAGGGAAGCTGGAGAGGGACTCTTTATTAGGAACTGTAGTGAGATAGGACAAGGAGTAATGGGAAGAAATTGAAAGAGGGGAAATTTAGATTAGCTATTAGGAAGAAGTTTTTTACTGTAAGGGTGGTGAGACACTGGCACAGGTTGCCCAGGGAGGCTGTGGCTGCCCCAACCCTGGCAGTGTTCAAAGCCAGGCTGGATTAAACCTTGAGCAACCTGCTCTGGTGGGAGGTGTCCCTGCCCAGGGCAAGGGGTTGGGACTAGATGGACTCTAAGGTCCATTCCAACCCGTTAACATTCTGTGACACTATGATACTATGTGCATCCTTGCACACATTTATGTGTGTGTAGAGAAAGGAAAAAAACACTTCCCTTTTGCATTTCTACCTCCAAGCAGATGCAGAGTCTGAGCCTCTGCCTCAGTGCACAGAACTGCAATTTACTGGATGTAAAATAAAAACCACAGCAGAAAGTCGTGGCGGGGGGGGGGGGGGGGG